TCTGCCTTTATTAAAGACCGAGGCAAAGGTCTTTAATCCTTGCTTTTTCATCAACACTGTTTCGGTTTATACATTAATTTCTAATATCTAATACTGTGAAAGTGCTACTGCTAAGCCAGTAGAGAAATTTGCTAGACTTTTAAAACTAGCTACTACTGTAGTCAGTTGCAAGTGATCGGAGCACATAATAGACTTTTTTGATACTGAAAATCACTCATTGGCTGATGTACTATAACCAACAGAATTATTAGTGTATAATTTTCCTTTGTGAACTATTATGTTTTATGCTTCATGGCAGTTTTATAAAATTTGAAGATTAAATTGCAGTTCAGCTTCATAAAACAAATAAAAATTACAAAAACCCCATGTAAATATAGTGAAGTCAATATGGCCTTTTTTAATAAGAAAAATGACTCTGATACATAAAAATGAACTGATGTTCATCCCTTTTACTCTAAGACCAAGTTAAAATTTGAAATCAAGTCAAGAAAAATAAATATTCTAACATCAGTAACATTTTTTTTTAGGATGACTTTTGGTATAGTTACCAAAACTGTGGATGATTTTGGGTATAGTTGTCAGCTCTTAAATTGATTTTCATAAAGGAATTATTCAAACAATTGCAGTTGAGACAATAAAGTCTTTTATCCTGGTTTTCTGTGTATGTAGTGGTTACACAAAAACAATTTTACATAGCAACTTTCTTTAAAAATACATAATTGTTAATTTTCTTTTCTTGAATCTCTCTGTATAGAAAACCATAGCAAAGTGAGTTGAGTGGAGGGATTGTCAATCAAATATTCAGAAACATTGCTGTGTATTCAAATAATGTCTTTATTTTAAAAGATTGTTCAGTTTGGAGTTTAAGTGGAGATATCTTTCTCGTTATTGCAAATTCTAGTCTATATTATAAAGCTGCAATCCGAAAATAAAAAAACCAGGGTTAATACATTCAAAGAAATACATGCAAATACCCTGCCATTTTAGCTATATAGCTTGTGTGTTGGATTTTGATTTATGATATTAGTGGTAACCTGGGGTTCAGAATAGTCATGAGTATTGAAATAGACTTTTGATTTCTTGTGCTGCTGGAAGGTATTATTCTGGACTTCTAAAGATCAAATTCTTATCCTCCCGCTGATTAGGGTCTACATTTTCATATTTCCTACATTATTTGGAATAAAATTGTAAATTTATGAAAAAAAAATTCACCTTAAAAAAATCTCTAGTGTGGCACATCTGGCATTTAACATGACAAGCTTTTAAAGCTACTTGGGCTTCTGCAGTAAAAATGTAGCTTCAGGGGCACAAGATTAGCAAGGAGAGAGCAATTGATGCAGTAGCTGCCGGGTGTTCTGTTAGAGACAGGGGCTTGAAGGAGGACTAGAGAATGTGATGATTTACTGCTTAACTGTACAAGCAGACCTAGGACATGTGTAAACAAACCACACAGATATCTTAATAAAATGTTGAAAAATATGTGGATTGAGATAAGTGATTAAAATAAAACACCTTTTCTGGTTTTTTTTTTTTGGTTGGTTTTCTTTTTCTGTGTGTGTTTTTTGTGGTTTTTTTGGTTTTGTTTTTTGTCCCCCACAAACTTATACTCATCTATGGTCTCTTCTTCAGGATAACTACACATTTGCACAGCCAGGAATTCAAAAGAAAGTGAAAATGTTGGAAGAGCTTGTTAGTCGAATCGATGGTAAGTCTTAAAAGCTCGCCTGATTTCTAACTGGTGTTTCATTGAAAGTGTGTAATTAAAATGTCTGCAAAAAGTCAAGCCAGCATCACTGCAGTTACCGGCAATAGTGGGATAACGTCGCCTTTCTCAGCCGAGGTGTCATACTCAATCAATTTGTGGCACACTGGCCTTTGCAGGATCACTGTCGTGCATCATTTGAAAGACAGCCACTAGAGCATGAGCCACTTTCATGACTTTTTATTAAGGTAATATAATCAAAATTCAATGGCAATTTCTTTGCAGCAGAGTAATGGCCACATACAAAAGGCAGCCAGTGTTCATTTCACATTAAGCACAATGATTGTTGTAATTCGGGCAAGTCACAGTGGTTGTTTATGGTTGTCCTTCGGCACTATGTTTTGTGCCTTTGTGCATCGTTTTGCTATCTGGAATGCCTGAATAATTTCTCTGTGGAATCCAATTAATTATGAACTCTGGAAATAACATCTTTAATATTACAGATAAATTACAGTCTGTGCAGGGGTAATTTTAGATTATGCTTTCATGTTTTAGCAGGGCACTTTGAAATATTTTCTACCTTCATCTTTAAAATAATTCCCTTCATGAAATGCTGACTGTCGTATTGCTAGAACAGAGTTTAATTAAATGAAATGCAAGAGATAATACTTGCCCATTCTAAACATACTCTCTTGATAGTTTGTTAAATTAATGAATAGAGTATTAACGAAATGTTGCCAAGCAGAACCAGGCATATATTTGCCACACTAGCCTGTCATGATGAGATAGAAAAATATTTCTTCTGTAGCTTAATATTTGATAATCTTCTTGGAAAGATTAATTCTATCTTTTCATTACACATACTGTGGGTGTTTTTTTCTTGTGCCAGTGCTTACCATAGCAGATTTTGTTTTGGCCTACACATATTTACATCTTAAATATTTGATAAAGCTCTTTGTGCCCTTTTAGAGTAGCAAAATATATTAAAAATATTTTTAAAGCAGTGTATTTTGTTACTTCAAAAATAATCTTAACTGCTTGCAGTGTGAATTTTTATGTCATTTTATGCTTATATAAATATTGGTGTTTACTTTTCAATAATTTATAGAAGTAAATGATTGTATATTAAGTAAAGTGCATAATTATGATGCCTATAGAGTTAACTTAGTCAATGAACATTTATATAAACAAATTATTTAAAATGAAAAATACCATTTGGATAATCCACCTTATGATTTAAATATAAAAATATTAAATATAATGCAATACGTTATTGTTTAATTTCTAAGAAAGAAATGCTGAAGGCTTGTTTGTATCTTTGATGCTTTTAGGGATATAGTTAAATAACTTCTCAGTGGTTAGGTTTGGGAAGCATTATTCTTAAGGCTTTACACTTTAAAAAAAAAAAGTTGTAGCAAGTCTGTTACGAGGCTTTCTAACTAAATGTAAAGTGTAGCTTCCTGATTTTTACTCGATTTTAAAATAATTTTGTGAGGTTCTTTATAGGACTGTATGCAATAGGACATTGTTGAAGTAGTCCCACATCCAAAGCTGTAATTGTTTATTTGTCTTTCTAAGTGTGGATCCAATTTTTTTCTTCAATGTTTTTTGATCTAAATTGTGTAGTATTTAGTAAAGGAGGCAACCAGTAAAATGTATATTTTCCTTTGGGCTGTACGTTATGGCAGATTTTGTATCAATGTTTGTGGCTGTAGATGACTGCCAAGGTGGGTACTGAACAACACCTTTTCTACACTGGAAATTTTTTCTGGCAGTGTTTAGTAGACATCGTGAGTATTTGCTAGTCAATGTTGATTTTTCACACTGTCCTAAGTACTTGCAAAGTAACATCTTCGATTAAACTTAACTCTAATTGTTTACATGGTTGAGTAGTAGAAGATGGTTTCCTTGTTTTGAGCAGTATAGTTGGAGAAAGCAAAACAAAATCCTGACTTTAGGGAATTGATCGTTGTATATAGCTGGTATATTTTACAGTGTGTGTTGTCCATATGACATACCTCTAGCATGTGTAGAAAAGATATTAAAGGAAACTATTTTAAAATAATAATGAGGATTACAGCACTTCAGAGCGAGGAAAATTTCATTACATATTTTTCCTTGTGGAAAGTATGAAGCGTTTTAAAAAGCTGTCATTGATATTTGAAAAGGAAGCCAGTAAGATTTGGATGTAACTGACATTACAGAAACTTAGTGCTATTTAGGTTGAATGGGATCTCTGAAAGTCAGTGTTCCAAACCTCCACTTTTGCCATTCTGTCTAAGGAGACAGAGTCAACTTCGATCGAGCTGTGCAGTCTTGCCCCGTTGAGTTTTGAGTAGCTCCAGGAATGGAGATTCTCCAATTAAGTTGTTGCAGCTGTTCATAGACTTCTTTTTAAGGCTGAACAAGTACAGTTCTGTCAGCCTCCTTTCATGTGTAAAGTGCTCCAGCTTCTTAATTACCTTGATTACCCTCCGCTGGACTTACTCTTGTATGCTAGTGTCCCAGATACGGCCATAATGCTGCAGACATGGTCTCACAAGTGTTGAATACAGCACCAGCTCCTGGCCAGCTGGCTTCTCTCTTGCTTGGAAAGCCCAGTATACAGTTGGCCTTCCTCTCTGCAAGGACACATTATTGACTTGGGTACAGCTTGTTATTCACCAGGACCCCCAAGTCCTTCTTGGCAGAGCTGCTGCCAGTTGGTGCCCAGTCAGTACTGTTGAATGAGACTGTTCCATCTCACGTACAGAGCATTTGCCTCTCCAGAACTTCGGGAGGCTCCTGTCAGTCATTCCTTCAGCCCGCCAATGTCCCTCCAAATAGCAGCCTTTACTTACAGAATCATAGATTCATAGAAGGCTCTGGGTTGGGCGGGACCTTAAAGCTCATCCAGTCCAACGCCCCTGTCATGGACAGGGACACCTCCCACCAGACCAGGTTGCTCAAAGCCCTGTGCAATCTGACCTTGAACACTGCCAGGGAGGGGGCATCCACAACTTTCCTGGGCAACCTGTGCCAGTGTAAACTGCTGTTCCCAATCTGGTATCATCCACAAACACAGGGAGGCCACTCTATGCCATCGTTAATTATTAATAAAGGTGTTGCACAGTATTAGCCCCAGTATTGACCCTGGATGGATGTCATTAGTAATTAGCTGTCAATTGGACTTTGTATTGCTGATCACAACCCTTGTAATAAAGTGGTCCAATTAAACTTCTGGATAGTGAAAGAACGCGTCTTTCAATATTCTTAGGGCTGTTTCTTTTTGTCTAGAAGACTGTCCACTCAGTTACTTTCTTTTGCCAGAAAAACACACCAAAGTACTTGTGAGATTAAATAAAATTTTAGTTGTTCAATAAGCGATGGTGCATGTGTACTGCTGTCATTTCATAAACTTTTGGATGCCTCAGGTAAGGGATCCTGACCTGGTTGGCTTTTTGATGGATACACAACATAGTTTGATTAAATTATATGTTATTGTGCTTTACTCTTCTCCGTTTCTTTTTGCTTTTATCTTTTTATCTTTATACTGGGTCTGCTATACTGTAGCTAAACGAAAACATATAGTTTTTTATAAATTCAGGAACATTGTTTTTAATAAAGAAATCTTATGATATATACTTACTGTAAATATCTTAAGTGCTAATTAAGGTTACCGTGGAAGAAAATAATATTGTTCTTCGTACTGTGTCACATTATTTTCTTGATGCTGCGTAACTGCATGGTGAAGAGAATCTTAATGTAGTAAGTAGCTGTGTGAATGGATGAAGCTTGTTTGTTAATTGTAATGGGTTACCAGTGCAGGAAGAGTGATGCTCGCCCTTCAGAGGGCATTAATGCATTTTGTTAGTGGTTCAAGCAACCTTCATTAACCCAGCCTTACAGATCACAACTCCTCTCAAAGTAACTGTCCTTGTGTGTATGCTGCAGAATATTGCTGTAGACTTCAAACAGCCAAGCTACTCTGTTAATTTAATCATAATCGCAGTCTGCTTAAACTCCAGAAAATAATTTTTATGAATTATGTGTTTAATGGAATTTTGAGTTTAACAGAACTTTGTTATAGACCAGATGGAATTTGAAGATAAAGCGTTATTTAATCTCATTTATCTCCTTATCATCACTGTTCAGATTGTTCTAGGAATTATACAAAAATATTGAGAGGGAGGAACAGAATTTACAGATGTTTAACATTTGACTGCTTTCATGCTTGGGGAAAGTGTCAGCTTCTTCAGTTTACTGTAAGACATCTGGTAATTATATTAGAGTTTGAGGAGAAGGAGGAGACCGAGCGTTTGTAGGTAGAAGTGTACTGATTGAACTTCTTAAGCTGTAGAGAAAAATTGTTTTCCTTTCTTTCTTTTGTTTAGGAAAATCTGAATCTCAAAAAGCCAAAATGCCCAGCAAGTCTAGTATGATTTCTTACTAAACAGCTTCCTGTTGTTTGATAAAACCCACAGAACAAGTGATCTGTTCAATATACTATGATAGATAGAGATTAAATAATTTGGTTTTTAATTTGAATCGTGGGTGTTCATACAGTATGATGATGAAACTGTGGTAATAGGTGACATTTGATCAATCTTTATGTATTCAATCATGCAAATGATTTTTTTAAAGTATGGTTAAAGAATACTTAATTGTATGTGCAAAATTATGTACATGTTTAATTATATTGTGAAAAAATTTTTCTGACACGTATAATTTTCAACTAGGATTGTGTTGAAATATCTGGAAAAAAGAGCTCTAACGGTAATTGTTGAAAAGACTGATATTCTTTAACTGTGCGGAAACATTTTGAATTGGAAATGGAAATTAGAATTTATTTAGACCTTGCTGCTGCTGTTGAAAATTAGTGACTAATAAGGACCTTTTTTGTTGGTCCATCTTTATATGTCAGCTTGGTGCTGAAGTGATTAAAAATCTTGTAAGCATTTCATAATTGTTTTAATTAATTTGTGCCATAACGCTCTTTTTCTTTTTAACAAAGCTATCTTATT